ATGCACACACTTCAGTTTGGACACAAACTTAGCACAGACCAGCACCAATTCTCCAAAAAAATAAGTTTAGATTGATTTCAGACTTGTACGGAATTAAAAGTTTCAGCCTACCAGTCTTCCCGATTGTCTAAGTGCATTAACCACCAGGAGAGATCGTCAGAACATTGTAGTCACACCAAAACTAGGAAATAACAGGTCATCCATGACCTACAGGCATCCCTTTCACAGGTATAGGATCACACAATCCATGAAAAGAGATCTAAACCTCACAATTTTTTTGACAGCATTCCGCAGACCAGCTTCATCGAGTTTCTCTTGGTACACGACCAAGATAAGAGAAGAAAAAAAATAGAAGACTTGTATAAGTCGTAGGTCAGATTTCTGTTCTCAGTCTGGAGAAGGCAGCAACATGAAGTGGGAAGACCTTGTTCGATCTGCCTCTCAAATCTAGTAGAACCGCTCTGATACCATCTTAACAGTGGAAGAACAGCAGTAAACAAAAAGAAGAAGGGAAGAGAGAGAGAGGGGGGGGAGAAGGTAGAAGAGAAGAAAGAAGATTGGCGAACTCAACTTCGGTCTGGCGGCACCAGATTATATTAATATTTATAGGACGACCATAATTAAAAGGGAAAAGACCCTTGTGCCCCTGCTGTAATTAAAGTACAAGAACAGTAATAAAAGAACTACTTTAAACAGACCAAACAGACCCTAACTAAGCAGAATAAGGATATAAAAGTAAAGTAAACTATTTCAACAAAAGAAAATAAAATAGAAAATAATTAACATATATAATGAAGGGAAGGTGAAAAATCTCTTCCACAAAGGTAGCATTCAGAAGTTCTCTTCCGCAGACTGTCAGCTATAAAGAAGGTTAAAAGTCTAGCTCAAAGGATTGAAGGGCTGATGGGGATAAGTTTTTGAATCCTAGTTTGTAAGTGGAGCCAACCCAATCTAGTATTAATAAGACAGGGTTTGTTGAACCGGTAAGGGAAGCCTTAAGAAATTACGTGATGGATGCAGGAGTTGGGCCAACTCAGTTTGGACACCACACAATTGGGCCTTTGAATTCAAATTTTTTCTATGGGTCATGTGACAACTTAAGTGGCACCTGGAAGGGGAACAAAGGCAAGAATTGATAGATCATTTGGTCGATCTATCATCTTCTACCTCAAAGGAGTTGAGTATTCTGAAGGATAGAGGCACTTGTTGCAAAATAGGCCTTTGGGCAAGAAATGGCATGCAAAGCTGTTCAAAGGAAAGAGGGTAATAAGTTTCAAAAAAAATGACCAACAAAGAGCTTAGGAGTGTATGGGTTGAAGTTTAAAAACAAGATTGGGATTTATTTGGAAAGGCAGCTGAGGCAGAAAGGGAGAGTACAGAGATGGATTTAGATGGGACTGTTTTGTCAACAGCAAACAAGATGTTGGAAAACGACTCTTTCTCAGGTAAGATTGGTATTGAATCTACAACATCAGAGTCTCACAACTCAGTTATGAAGAAGAAACTACTAGGATCATTGAAGCTAAGGAAAAGGAAAGTGAAGTTATTGCAGAGGAGTCTTTTTCTTCACAAGAGAAAGAGTTGTATCAGCCCTCTAATGGCCCTTTTCTTCCAGTAGTAGAGATTGGAAGACTTGATCAGAATGGTTCAGTCATTTATGCAGGCAAGAAAAAGTTCAGAAATTGTATCAGCCCTCTAATGATCCTTTTCTTCCAGTGGAGAGGCAGAATTTGTTTTTCCCCTGTCTCAAATTGAGACAGACACAGCATTGGATCATTGGATGACCAAGGTACTAGAAGCAAAGTCAGGAGGAAGATTAGCAGGCATTTCTGAGTCCAATGATGATGACTTAACGGCCTCTTTTCTGGGATCAAATAATTCAATGGGGATTGGAAGTGTACAAGATGGCAAGGTTGATGTAGAACAGGAGATAATTTTATAGTGGGGAAATTGGGAAAAGACCTTAGTAGGAAGAATCAGGATATAGGAAAGGAAAACTTGGTGAAACAGAATAAGCCCAACTCAAAAGCCACAGTGAAATTGAAAGGCACTGATAATGGGCAACTGATTAAAATCACTAAAGATTTTTCCAGGTTAAAAGACGGTCTCATTGGTGCAGTCCAAGTAGTAAGTTCAAGAGGGTTTATAAAAGGAAAAGATTGAAAAAAATAAAACTGTTTGTTTAGAGAAGCTGGTGAGACTCTTTTGACCCAATCTCCAGATTATTGTCATAAGGGACCTAGTTCCTCTGCCTGAGGAAGCAGTGGCTTTTGTGGGTGATCTGCTGGGGGAGGAGGATGATTCAGAAGAAATTGAAGGAGAAGAGGAAGAAGAGGGGTTAGAATTTGATAGAGTTAGAAAAGTTGAAAAAGAAAAGGTGGTTCTGGAAAAGATGGTGAAAACTGGAGCTCAAGTTCATAAGACACTGGGTTTCTATGTTTTAAAACGGGAACATGCTACAAGAAAGTTGTTTCAGGAATTAGAACTGAAGTACCCGATGAGTGATGGAAGTCCTACTTCAGATTCGTAAATTGATAAGGGCTAATGTCTTAGAGCTGTGTGTTTTTTGAGTGGACTGGAAGTATTTTTGGTCTGTTGAGGGACAGGGGTTGTGGAAGCAAGTCGTGGGATTAGATTCTAAGGGCTAAAGGATTATGCTGTTTTTGTTTTTCTCTGGGGCTGGGAGTTGTTTGGTCTTCGGGTTTTGCTCGTCTTTGTACCTTTTTCTTCCTCAATAAATTTCATTTTTATTTGTTACCAAAAACATATATAAAGAAGAGAAAATGTATAAACCGCTAAACACCAAAAGGGAGACAAAGAGAAACATACCTACTTCGTTTCTTAATTTTCCCTATTTGATTTATATAGTTTTTTTCCATGGTTTTGAGCCTTAAATGTGCAATTATATTTCTTCTAATTAACTTTTGAAGGTTTACTATCTAATTCCATGTTTCTATTCTCAATATAATCCAAACATATAATAACAATAAAGACAAAAGTTAAAATGGAAAATAATTAACATATATAAAGAAGAGAAAATGGCTAAACTGCTAAACACCAAAAGGGAGACAAAGAGAAACATACCTATTTCGTTTCTTAATTTTCCCTATTTGATTTATATAGTTTCTTTCCATGGTTTTGAGCCTTAAATGTGCAATTATATTTCTTCGAATTAACTTTTTAAGGTTTACTATCTATATCCATGTTTCTATTCTCAATATAATCAAAACATATAATAACAATAAAGACAAAAGTTAAAACGGAAAATAATTAACATATATAAAGAAGAGAAAATGGCTAAACCGCTAAAGACCAAAAGGAGACAGAGAAGCATACCTATTTCAATCTCTTAATTTTTCCTATTTGATTTATACAGTTCTTTGCTATGGCATTAAACCTTAAATGTGCAATTATATTTCTTTTAATGAGCTCTTGAAGATTTATTAACTAATTCCATGTTTCTAGAAAACTTCCCTGATTTTTTAGATTTTCCAACTATCTTAGCAAAATATCTCCAAAATTTCCCCACCTCTACATGGTGAGATGTTCATCGATATCGAAATTACAATCCATGGATATCCTGTTCATGCTTGCAGAATTCGTATATACTATTCTGGTGATTTCTATATCTATGGTACTGCTATCTGTGGTGCTATTTTACCAACGTTTTCTGACTTGCAAGAGCAGAAGAGCAAGAAGAGCAAAGAAAACAGCAAAGAATAGAGAATAAATGAGCGGCTCAAGTGTTCCAAGACGACACTAAAGAGAACTTTATATTAAGAGGCCAATAATACATGAAAGGACAAGTATGCCCCTGATTAGTGGAGGGACACACAAGCTAAAAAATAATAATAAAAAAAAAAAACAACTAATCTAAGCCCAATAACTTCAGGCTCAAGTTGAGCATAGATGTCCATCATGCCCAGCTTTCCAAGAAGACCACGGAACTTTTCTAAAGGACGGCTTTTGGTTAGAGCATCTGCAAATTGCTAACTACATCTCAAAAGGTGTGTATGGAATACAAAGTTCACTAGAGATGATCCTCTCACAAAATGTCTATCAACCTCAATATGCTTGGTCCTGTCATGCTGAACAAGATTATTTGCAATATTAATTACAGCCTTTTTGTCACAATACAACTTGAGGGGACATTTTGCCTTCATTCCTAACTTACCAAGAAGAGTTCTGAGCCACAGTAGTTCAGCTATACCATGTACCATAGCTTTATATTCAGCCTCTGCACTCGCTCTAGCAACAACATTCTATTTTTTACTTCTCCAAGTGACCAAGTTCCCCCCCAACAAATGTATAGTAACCTGATGTAGACTTTCTGTCACCGGTAGAACCTGCCCAGTCTGCATTAGTATAAGCATCCTCTCAAGTTTGTCATGTTTCTTGAACAAGATTCCTTTTCCTATACAACTCTTCAGATATCTAAGGATTCTCACAACTACCCTATTGTGAGGAACTTGGAGCAAGCATAAACTGACTCACCACATGAACTGCAAAGAGTGGGAGCAACAATATTAATGTGTTGCTGTGGCTCTTTCATGAGAGCAAAATCACAGATCTCGTCAACTTGCTTTCTTAGAACAACATGCAACTCCATTATTCAAGTTCTAGAAAATTCCACATCCTGTTGATAATTGTGAACAAGCTTGCTCAAAATTCCTAGAAATTGGTCCTCGAGTATCAACTGACTGCTCAAGGCTCTCCATCCGGAGACTTATTTCTTCCACCTTCTCATGTGTCTCTCTGATGGTAAGCTTGACTTGCTTGTAAATCAGCAACAAAAATCAATAAATCAACTTCAACTGTTTTAAAAATTAAAAGAGAAGAAAAGATTTCCCTGATTGCCAAAGTACCAGTACAGATGCAATTGATAGTGCTCCTGCTACTATTTCTCTGTTTTTAAATAATGCACTAAAAAATTGACATGTTACTAATTCAACAGGAAAGAGAATTCACTCATCAATTCATTGGTAGTGATAAAAGATTACCAGAAAAGCCCCTTCCAATTTGATTTTGAGCCCAAGCAATTTTTTCATCAGAACCAAGTTTTTCTTCAATGTAGTTCTGACAATAAAGACAAAGCAAAGCAATATAATTCATTGTATTAATAGCAGAATGAATGTTATAGATGCATTAATACCACTATAGTTTTAAATACTTACCAGGACAAGCAAATTCTGAAGTGGCTGTATGCTCGAGGAAACAATGTTTGCAGCCTACAACCAGAAGGATAATTGTGATTTTTTATTGGATTCTGAATTTCAAATTATGAGCTCTCTATTGTGTGCATGCAAAATTTGAGTAGAGATGTGAGAGGAAGAAGAAAATAAGAGAAAGATATGAGTTTTGGAAGCCACCCCTTCCAAAGTTGCCAAAATCTCAGCCCTAAGAGAGTCACCTACTCCAATTGGGCCTGAGAATAAGCTATTACATTCCCATGCTTGTTCCTTAATACTCGACCAACTCCTGAAGGCCCTGGGTTTCCAATACTACCACCATCGAAGTTCAGCTTTATGAAGCCACTAGGAGGAGTCCATATAGGGACCATTTGTTTTGGTCAAAAGTGTAAAACTGCATACCCGGGGGTGGTTGGAGTCTTCCAACTTTATTCCAAACTTAATTCATTTTTTAATCTAATGAATCTCTCTTGCTGATCAAAAAAAAAAAAAAAAAAAAAAACGAAACCCACTCCTTAAGCAGATACGAAAACCATAACACCCAATACACCTAGTCACTCGTTTGAATCCCTCTTCTCTTTCTCCTTCCTCCTCATCCTCCTTTTCTTCTTCTTTTCCATTCTTCTATTCACCTCCTCTCTTATTTCTTTAACATCTTCATCATTCACTCCATCCCAAACAAAATCCCTTCTAGCCTTCTCAAGAGAGTTATCACTGATATTGGATCTGTAAGACATGGAAATCACTCACCAAAAGTAGATCATCATGAAGTTATCATCAATTCAGTTGGTAATCTATGCGATCAGTAAGGTGCAGAAAAGAGGTCACCATAGAGTTCATGATTGAAGGGGTAATAATGGCATGGAGAAAGAAAGGTCTTTTGATGCAGAAAGAAGGTGGAGATTAGAGTTCATGATTGAAGCGAAGAAGTTGTTGTTAGAAGGAAGAACTGGAAATCTTTCAGTCTTGAAACTAAGAGAAGAAGGAAGAGCAACTATTTTATTATTAGAAGAAGCTATACAATGGTTTGTAGAAAGACTGGGCCGAATGGTCACTAGCCCATTAGTGCCTTTCTTATTAGTTCTTTCTTGTTGGGCCTTTTTTCTCTTTATGGGCCTTTAGCTCTTGTTTTGTTTTCCAAGTGTATTGCTGATGTGGACACCTACTTAAGGGCAGTCTTGTAAATTATGTAACTTAAGTAAGTTTAATAAAAGATTAGTGTGGGGGAAAGAGGATTATCGAACTCCTCCTTTCTTTCTCCTTTCTTTCTCCTTTCTTCTCCACTCTTCCTCCTTCTTGTTGTCCTCCTCTTCTTTTCTACTTCATTTTGCTTAACCTAAATTATTCTACTAATTTTATTGGTCCGAATCATATCTTGGTATCAAACCAGGTCTCCCTTCGCTTTTCTCTTTTTTCCTTTTTTTCCCATACACTTTTTTCTAATTGAAAGGTGTATGGAGAGCTAAATTGCTGATCATTCAGAGAGTTTGTTTGCCTAGTTGGTAGAGGGTTTGGAGAGTCATAATCTGGCCGAAGATTGCCAAGAAAGTGGGACTACAGATTTTTTTCCCAAAACCCTAGCCGACTAGAGAGTTTCCAGTTCCAGGTTGAAGAGGCTATTGGGGTGTGGTGCTCAAGGCTTGGAGGGTTCCTTTTTATCTCCAAAAGTGGGCGACTACAGTTGGAAGTGGTTTGGATTGCTCTGGTTTGAGCGGCTACCTCTTCTCTCTTTCTCCCTGGAGACCAAGTATAGTGAAACCCTAGTTTTGGGACTTTTGAGTGCTTGGTTGACCTTAGTTAGGTCTATAAAGGTTGAAAACATTGTTTTTTGATTTTCATTTGATTGATGGAGCAATCTAGAAGTGAGATGAAGCAGATCCCGGTGTCGGGGATTGGTCCCATAGATTCCATTCTGATAGGAGTGACTACAATTAAACTTGATGGAACAAATTACCTTGCTTGGGCACAATTTATTAAGATCCATGTCTATAGTAGAGATAAACTAGGGTTTCTCACGGGTAGTAAGGTGATGCCGGAAGAGACTGATCTTGCAAATGAGAAATCGATACAGGATAACTACACAATTATTGGGTGGTTGGTAAATTCTATGCAGCCTCACATAAGTCAACACTATCTTTGGATGACTTCAGCCAAGGAGATTTGGGATAGTGTTACAGAAACATACTCTCATAAATTAAATGTTGCAAGGGCCTACAAACTGAAGAATGATGTGAAAATTTTAAAACAGGGGGAGAAGAGGGGAGAAGAGTGTGGTTGTCTACTATTCGATGTTGAAGTCACTATGGCAGGAAATAGATGTTATGGAAGCAGTCATATGGGAAAGCACCAAAGATGTAGAAACTTTTAGAAAAATTGTGGAAAGAAACAGAACGTTTGAATTCCTTACAAGACTCAATCCTGAATTTGATATTACAAGGCAAAATATCCTAGCCAAGGATGAAGCGTCACTTGCTCAAGCATACTCTATGATGACCAGTGAAGAGAGCAGGAGACAGGTACAGCTACAAACCCCACCTCCCCCAGAACATTTTGCACATGTTGGATTAAAACCAAAGGGGGTAAATGAAAAAAAGGTGATATGTGAATATTGCAAGAAGCCAAAACATACGAAGGATTCTTGTTGGAAACTTCATCCAAATCTTCTAGAACGGTTTCAGAACAACAACAATTTTAAGAAGGGTGGTCAGTCTGGAAAGCCCAGGAATGCAAATGTTGCTACAATATCTAAAAGTGAAGAAAAATCTGTTGTGAAACAGCTGGCAACAGTGAAGGCAGAATTTGAGAGAGATGGGAAGTTGATACATCACTTGGAGTCTACCATTGCATCTTCCTCCTCAGGCACCCCCACTACATCCGCCTTTGCCCATTGAGGTATTTGTGCTTCTACAAATCACGCTACAACCTCAGGTAATCTTAGAATTCCTTAGATCATAGATTTTGGTGCATCATACCATATGACTAGCTTACCCAACCTTTTTTGTTCATACCAACTCCTCTCGGGTAGAGAGAAGATTTCTCTTGATGATGGGTCTCTTGCTCCCATCTCTGGCGAGGGGGATGTTAGAGCCTCTGACTCACTTGTATTATCCTCTGTCCTTCATGTTCCCAAACTTAGCACTAACCTTTTATCTGTTAGTAGTTTAACAAAATCAATGAACTGCAGCATAACCTTCTTTCCTACTTATTGTGTTTTTCAGGACCTGAAATCTCAGAGGACGATTGGGAGTGGCCATGAGGCGAATGGGATATATTTGCTGGATTACCTCGTGGAGTAGCTTTGGAGTCTATTTCATCAGAGTCAGTTGATAGAGTCATGATATTTAAGATTTGGTCATTTGTCTTTTTCAGCTTTGAGTCATTTGTTTCCAGAAATGTTTAAGGGAATATCCCTATCGAGTCTTCATTGTGAGTCATGTGAACTTGCAAAACATTGTAGACAATCTTTTTCAGTGAGTAATAAAAGATTTGTTTCTTCTTTTCATATTGTGCACTCTGATGTGTGGGCCATACCATTTACTTGTTATGGGGGTTACAAATATTTCATTCTTTTCATTGATGATTTCTCTCGTTACACCTGGATTTACCTTATGAAATCCCGAGATGAAGAAACAAATATTGTACAAAAATTCCATGAACTTATACTTACCCAGTTTAACACTCGAATCAAAATATTCCGAACTGATAATACAAAGGAATATTTTGAGAAGAGCCTTTCCTCCTACTTTGATACCTTTGGAGTTATTCATCAGAGTTCTTGTTCCTACACTCCTCAACAAAATGGAGTGGCGGAAAGAAAGAACAGACATGTGGTTGAGGTTGCGAGGAGCCTCCTTTTTGCTTCCCATGTTCCTATTAAGTTTTGGGGGGATTCTGTCCTTAAAGCTACATACTTGATAAACCGAATGTCTTCCCGGGTTCTGGGGTTTAAAACTCCCTTTACCTTGCTTTTCCCAAATGATGATCTCTTCTCTCTTCCTCTCAGAGTGTTTGGGTGCACTTGCTACGTTCATGTTCACAGTCATCAAAGACATAAGTTTGAGCCTAAAGTGTGTGTGTCTTTTTGGAATATGCTTCCACATAGAAGGGATATTGTTGTGTAGATCTTATTCATGGCACTCGCTTTGTTTCCAGAGATGTTACATTTGCAGATTTTGTTACTTTTTTGGTACTTCTCCGAAGGGAGAGCATTCAGAGGAGTTGTTTGCGTTGTCACTATCTGTTCCTTTTCCAATTCCCATTGAATCTTCTATTGAGTCTCCTCTAATAGAGTCCTCTATTGGCTCTTCTTCTCATGTTCCTACTCCCCCTCCTCCTCCTACTCATCCTCCCACATTTCCTTCCCATCCTATTATCCAAAGGTGGTACTAGAGACAAAGACTCAGAGATATGCAAGTTCTTTCCACGCCTTCAGATGAGCCTCTTGCTCCTTCCATCACTACTGAGGTAACAGGTCACCCCTCTTCTACCACTTTGGATGCCTTCCCTGACCTTGATCTCCCTATTGCCCTTCCCAAAGGCAAACGGAAATGTACGGCTCATTGCATTTCCAAACACCTGTCCTATAGCCTTCTTTCCCCCTTCCGGCTATTCCTTCCTTGTCTCTGTTTCCACACATGTGACTCCCAGATCTGTCCTAGAAGCCTTGTCCAAACCAAAATGGAGGGATACTATGATGACTGAACTAGATGCTTTGCATAAGAACAATACTTGGGAAATTGTGGATTTGCCTGAGGGAAAGGAACTGGTTGGTTGTAAGTGGGTGTTCACTATTAAGTATCATTCAAATGGTACTATTGAGAGATATAAGACCCGTTTGGTTCCTAAAGGATACACTCAGTTGTATGGTATTGACTACCTGGAAACTTTTGCCCTAGTAGACAAGATGACTTCAGTTCGAGTTTTGATATCTTTAGCTCCTACTTTTGATTGGCCTCTTCATCAGTTTAATGTAAAGAATGCTTTCTTGAATGGGAGCCTACATGAAGAAGTCTTTATGTCTTTACCTCCAAGGGTGTATA